TCTGTAATCCCAGTACTTGGGAGGCTGAGGCAAGAAGATCGTGCGACCAAGCCCTGTCTGGGTTACATAACCAATCCAAGGGCAGCCTGGCCTATGCAGCAAGGTCCTGTCTGGAAAAGGTAGGGGGGCGATAGTAAAGAGAGGGAGAAGCCCCTAGAGAGGAGGACAGAGAGAGAAGGGAGGTAACTGATGACCCTGGAGTTGTACGGCTCCGCACAAGATTGTAGGAGCAGATTTTAGCTGGGATGGGGTACAACTCGTCCTCTGAGAGAAATGGGATAAGGAGGATAGTTGGGGATATAGATGGTTCCAACTGGAAATACTAGACAGGAATTTGAAGGGGTTTCTGTCTAATTATCTCTAGTCCCCATTTCATTCGTAAAACAAACAGGCAAGCACATGGCTGAGAGGCAGAGGCTGAGGTAAGATTTTCTTGAAGATAAGGTTGAAGGTTTGATGTAACCACTGTGGGAAATTGGAGAAAGAATTTGTTGAGGCCAGTGAAGCTACTCTGAAACCCCAACTTGGCTGAAAAAACAATGTCTCATAATGTATTCCCACCATCTATCTATCTGTCTGTCATCTCTCCAGTACACATATGCATCTGTACATCAACATTCATTTATTCATTTATCTTAATAGCTTACAATGAGCACTTACTATGTGTGAGGCTTCATGCATACAGTAGATGGAGTTAGCTGAATAGAGACAGAGGATTCCACTGTGGCTGATGAGTGTAAAGATAAGGAAAATACAGAATGCTAAAGAGGCATATTCATGGAAGCGTATCACTCGAGTTTGGACGTCATTTCTATGTCTTGCATAGGAATTAGTATAAATAGGACTAAGCCAGGGAAAGGTAAGGACTGGAATAATGAATGGTCCAGACGGAGGAAGTCACACTTCCTCCAGTATCAAATTTTTATAGACAACAAAAGCAAGATTCACTTAGAGAGGTAAAAGGAACAGACTAGGTAAGGCTTGGAGATGACAATCTTATGAGAGATATCGTGCTCAGGACTTCTGCTTTCTCTTTCATCATAACAGTCAAGGAGAAGTTTTAAACAAAAAAGTGCAATAGCCAGATAATCATTGGAGAAAGATGTATACCAGTGTCAGTTTGCAGAATAAGCCAGACTGAGAGACTGAAGAAGAAAGAGGGGCTAGGACAGGTGAGTATTGTGACCGGTGATCAGAGTGTTAGCTTGGACTAGGATAGATTGCAATGGGAGTGGATGGAATTCAACATAGTTAAGAGCTACTTTTGAAAGTGGAATTAATACATTTATTCACTGGATGTGAGAGGCAAAGAATAGAAACTCCTAGAATTCTGGCTTGAGCAACTTCGACAAATGGAGATGCTGTATTTTGAGGCAGGGAGCAGCAGATGAACAGGAGGCTTGCAGAGAGGAAGGTTTGTAGAAGATTTTTAAAGTCTGCTAATTCTTGACACTCATCCCATCAAGGGGAAGAAGTCCCCTCCCCTTGAATGTGGTAGGGCTCGAAGGCTGCTGCCTCAATGAGCCGAATGCAGAAGTGTGACTTGCAATGGCCGTGGTGTATTTCCTGTCTCCCTTGGACACGTTCAGAGGCTTCAGAAGAGTGGTGCTAGGCACGTAGTTGTGTCTTCCTCAGTGTAGCCTCCAGCCATTTGAGTGAAAGAGCTTTGACATGACTTTAGGCTCCATCATGATCTTGAGTAAACAGTCCACATTCAGATTCATGGACAAAAGTAATGAATGCTGTTATTTGAAACCACAGTGTTGTGGTGGCTTGATAAAGAGCAGTAGAGAGCAGAACAAAGATGATAAGTTGAAGTTTGAAAATGTGTCTGGAGGGTCCAGAAGAGATGCGTTCATCTCCTTGATGAGACAAGATGTTCAGGTCTGGGGCACAGGCAAGAGCTTTGGGTTTCAGTGTTATTCACGCTCATCCCACACTTTTTATCCATCTCAGATTTGGTGTGTGTATCACTGTTGCAATTTCACATTCTTTATTTCATTTTGTCTTAATAACAACTTGAAGAAACAAGTATTCAAAAACAAGAATTAAGGAAGCTGAGGATCCAAAAGGTTTTGTAATTTATATAAAACACAAAACCAAACCAAACCTCATAGCATGGAATCCAGTTAGAGCATAGTTCTTCTGATTCCCTATATAATGCTGTTTCTACTGTATCTGACTAAGTGCTGCAGGGACAGCAAATGCTTGGAAGAATCATGGTCTTGAAATCAAAGCTGAGAACATCAAGTCTGCGGAGCATGGATGGAGGAGATCTGAGATTGCTTCTTACATTTCTCCACAAAAGCATTGCTCATTTTAGAGGACAAGGTGACTTGTAAATGTACAGTCCGAACTGATTCATTCATTTATTTAACAATATTTGCTAAGGACATGCTGTGTTACAGGCACTGTGTTAATTTCAGTAGCATAAAACTGAACGTGGCTCCTATCCTCCCAAGGCTCAAGGAAACTGCATCAAGCAAGCGATTCACAAATCATAATTTGGCCCCTTTGTGTATCAGCCACTTTCCACTCACTGGGACAAAATGCCTGACATCTACAACTTAAAGGAAGAAAGATGTGTGTTGGCTCATCGCTTCAGTCCATTGTGGACCAAGAAAGAAACAAGATGGCAGGGGGGCACAGCAGAGGAGAAGCTGCTCAACCCACGGCAACCAGACAGTAGAGAGGGAAAGGAAGAAAAAAAAATCCACTGTCCCCAGTTACACTCCCAGTGACCTGCCTCTAACCAGGCTCCACCTTTTAACAGCGCACTCAGATTGGCAGAAAGCAAGACAAGTACATAAGCCCCAATCCACTGCTGAGAACAGCTCCTTCATGAAGCAGCCACCCCCCCCAAGAGGCTTCTGGAGAACAGTTTATGTCTAACCATAATATTTGGGTTTTCAGGAGGAAGTCACATGAAGCCAAAAGGAAAGGCCAGAAGAATTTAGGGTACAGATAATTCCAGGAAGAAAGAAAAGTAGGTTCACAGGCTAAGAGGTGAGAAAAATGACACATCTTTCAAGGCAAAAAGAAAAATTAAATTTAGCCAAAATAGGAGCAGTCCAATGGGCTGGGGGTCAGATGACCACCTATAATCTGTACGTCATCTGTACCTAAAGGGCTTTACACACATTGGTCTTTATCATGATTCTCTGGGCTTAGTCTCCGGAAAGCATAACCATGTCGACACTGGAGAATGCTCGTGTGCTCTGAGGAGAATGTCCCAGTCTCTCTGAAATGTAATACTCCCATCTGAAAAATGTTGCATCAGCTCGAAAATTTCTCACCAAAGTTAGATGAAATACGCAAAATATTTAGCGCGATGCCTGACATACAGTGAATGCTTAATTTCTATTATGTTAATCTAAATTATAGAAAGGGAACATGACGATCCGATCAAAACCAATGCTATCAATTCAAAGGACAGACTCTTCATTAGGAAGGTGATAACTGCTATGAAGAAGGAAAAGCTTAGACCAGAGTAAGAGGGAGGGGTTGGAGGGGTAGGTGTCACTCACAAGGTGACGAGTAGGACATCTCTTGAGCAAGGAGAAAAGAAGCCAAGTAGATATCTGGAGTTGGTGACCCAGGTAGGGAGAAGAGCTGGAGAGAGGCCCCACGGTGGGGTGTGTCTGCCACACTTAAACAGTGGCAAGAAGGCCAGGGTGGATGGTGCGCAGTGAGCACGGGAGTGGGTGTTAAGAGAGACAGAGCCGGAGACAGAGTTGAGACTGGCGGAAAGACAGACATGTGCACAGGCCCGGAAGTAAGAGAGAAGACACTTCTTTCAAGGCAAATAGCAAAATTAGGTTTAGGCAGAATGTGATTAATAGGGCGAAGTCAAAGATTGAGGCTATAAACCTGGGTCATCCCGACGAAGGCCGAGGTGTTCACATCCCTTGGTTTATCGCAACTAGGTGTCACTCACATGTTTCAACCAAAAGAGAATACAGGACCAGAAAAGAGAAAGAATCAGAGAGTGATCAAGGTGTTTTCAACATATCTCACACATCTAAAGAAAGTCTTAAAATAGTCCGTTCCTCTCGGCAGCTATCCTTTGCCAGCAGCTGGATGAATACTTCACATGAGTACCCACCCCAGAGGCCATACCCATTTCTTGTGAGTGAGTCAGCTCCCTGAAAGCCCATACAGTTACAAAGGGCCCTGAACATGACGTGCTAGACTGGCACAGAACCAGCCGCACCCAAATAACTGCCACCCTAAGAGGCTCTACAGGAATAATTAATCAGGTTCCTCCAAAGATTACAGAAGTTGTACATCATCATAAATGTTTGATGCTGTGAAGCTTCTCCATGTTGAGCATTAAAACTCTAAATGCAGGCAACCTGAGTATTTATTTGGGGGAATAACTAGAAAGGCAAAATCTCAAATGTGTTTTTCTCATCTGGGCTGGAAAGACATGGAGGTACTCGATGAAGAAATGCGGCAAGTGCCGGATTCCCTGTACTTAAAATGCAAAAACACTTATCTACAATGTTGCGAATCAGCAGCCACCGAATGAAAACTTCCTATTGTGACCAGAAAGCTAAACTTCTCAGCACCCAAGCCTTTTGACAACACACTTCTGCCCAGCAAGTACTGGACAGTCATGGAGCACTGTCCTGAGGACTAAAAACAGCACAAGATAAAAGTAAATACAAAACCATCCTTCCTTCCCCCGAGTTAATGTTATCTCTTTCCCCAAGAGATTAAAACATACAAATATCTGTAAATTCTTTTACTACCTGCATCACCCACGATCAGGAATAGTAGTTTCCCCCTCTTGCCAGCCTGTTTTTGTCACATCCCTTCTGGGTAAAGACATACATCCTGATTCTCCAGTCTAAGGAAGGCCACCCAACCGTACTGCAGCCCCCTCCAGAACGAGAGACCAGACCCCACTGGCAAGGCTGAGGCACACCCTACGTCCTCTTTGACATCTGACCATGCCTTCCGTGCACAATCACAGGCAGACAATTGATGGAAAGTACCTGGAATGCCAGACACCAGGAGAGACAGCAGTAGCAGTTGCAGGGCTGAATACCATTCCCATCTTCTGGAGAACATGCTACTTTCCAGAGCTTCCCAGGAACGCTAGACACAGCCAACAGCCAGGCTAGAAAGGGACCAGAGGCAGAAAGGGAACTCTCAAACAAGGTTAGAGGAAATCACCCACTGAACTTTACTTTACATCTAGCACTTTTGTAACGGGCAGGGGAAGAGACCAGAGAGAGGAAGTCTTACAGGTTTTTTTTTTTTTTTTCATCTGAAAGCACTATGGCAACAGAATAATTTTTTAAAAATATCTACAGCTTCCAAAGGATTCTCAGAAGGATCACAGACCCACATTGGTCAGAGGGGTCCGTGATCAGAAATTTCCTGGTAGAGAATATATGATTGTAGTATCACTTTGATCATCTCAGAGGCTTATTGACGATGCCTGTCCAAATGCGGACCTTATTCAGAGCAGAAAATCTGGGAAATCAGATTCACACATCCTGAGTGCCAGATCTCCCACTTCCACTTCCTCTTCCTTTAAGAAATTCACCATTTGAGCTTTTATATCAGCCTGTCCACTGAATATTAGAAAAAATTACTTGGCCCCAAAGAATGGATTCCCTGCCTACCCTTGTGCTCTAAGAAATTCCAGACCATTCCTCATTCCACTTCACTGAATCTAAATAAGTTATTTGCCCACCTAAGATATTTTGAGGGAGCCATGAGTTAAGGCACAGTCCACGATGCAGCATATTTGGAACCATTTCAGAACTGGGGACATTTCTGATTCTCAAAATGGAGGTGACCAATGAAATGACTGCCGTCTTCAATCTGTGATGAAGTAAATCACTTTCCCCAAAGGATCCGCAGAGAGAAACTGGATCAACTCAGTACCTGACACTGTGTGCGACACCCCCCCCCATACACACTTCTGGTCACACCTCAGCCTGGTGAAGTGAGCAGAAAAAAGGTATTGAAACTCACCGTCAGACTTGCCCAAGAACATGCTACTGCTCGTCAACTCTCTGCTTCCCCCAGGGTGGGTGCTGTCAAATCTGAAGACTAGAAGAAATGGGACAGAAACAGAAGCAAGTGAGAAGGACAGAGAAGAGGAACTACCTCAGGAACATTTTGAAGCAAACTATAAAAAGGGACAGAGGAAGAGGTGGGGTCAATTGAGAAGGACAAAGTCAAGGAAGGAAGTAAACCCCACAGCCTTTGAGAAACCATTTTCCCCGCCCATCTCCACAATCTTCTCTGGAGGGAGGAGGGGGAGAGGGTAGCACTGAGCTCTTAAGAACAGAAGGTGAGCAGAGCGGGGCTGAAAGATCTGCAGTCATCTAGAAGCATTCACCTTAATGCGATAAACCTCCTTGCAAAGGGAAGAGAGGCCGGAAGGCAACCTTGTCTAGGCCACTCCCCGTCCGCCCATTTCCTGCACACTCATCCCAAGCCTTCCCGCTGTTTGTGCCAAGGATCATCCACCCCAAAGAGTCCCGTGCCCTCGAGCTTAGTTTTCAATTCCCTGAATTCGTCTCCCAGAGCTAGGCTGGCCTATGAATCTGACCTCAGACTAAAAGGAGATATCAAATGATTTGAAGTTGTCTCCCTCCTAAAATATGTGTGATTTGAAAGAGGGTCTCGGGGGTGAGGTGATGAGAGGGGTGAATGCGGATGCCAGCCTGGGTTATTCCCACTTTGCCCATTCACTCCATGGACGCACACCAGTGCCCACTCTGTGCCAGGATTGTGGGTCTGGCCCCTGTCTTTTGGAACTCAGCCCTAACCAGGGCCCAGTTTTTACCTGCCATGGGTTCCTATTCTCAGGTTGGTTTGCTGGCTTTGGACCAAATCTAAGGAGGCCATTTATCTTGGTTAAAAGGAAAAAAAGAATTTATTCAAAGCGAGCTCTGGGAAGGTGGAGGGGCCCATCTGCCTAAATCACCTTCTTACCACATCCAGGTGGATAAGGGTCTTTTATAGTAAGGAACGGAAGGGTGGGGAGTGCGTCCACAGTTGCTTTATTGATTCCAGCCACTTTTAGCTCATTTTCCTTTTTCTAGTGGAAAGGAAACTGGATTCTGGCCCCTTGGGGACAGTCTCTGCATATTCCCTGACTTCTTTTGGCCTGGGAAACGGAAGCTGTGTCTCAGTAAGAGGAAGTCTGGAGAAGTTACTTATTCCTAAAAAAAACCAAAAACCAGAAACCAAAGCTAACTTTTAAAGTTCTACGCTGCAGTGCCTGTTACATCGCCAGCTTTTCTTTCTCATCTTCTTGCTCTGGACTCGCATTTTCCTCTTTCTGAAGTACTTTCTCCCCTTCTCTGCTAGGCTGGCTGACTATTCTTCCAAAGTGGCCCAAGCTTTATCCACAGTGGAGATCCTTCCACAATCACCTCTGTTGCTCTAGGCTCATTGTTTCTGGTTCCCCTTGAAATCTTGTTCTTATTAGTTCATAGAAGGTGCAGCTCTTGTTGGGAACAAAGATGCTAGACAAAGTTTCTAAGTAAGAAGAGAATATGGATATTATAGAAAATTTATCCAAAAAAGGAAAGAAAAATAGAAAATTAAAGGTAAATAATCTGGTCCAGAAAAAAAGTACTGTTAATTTTGTGGTACAGAGTTCTCCTTCTAGTGTTTTTCTATAATTAGGCACATAGATTGAGGTTACTAGGATCCTACGGCATAGGTATTTTAAACGTGAGTTTTTTGTTGTTTACATAATGAGCATTGTCCCATGATGTTAAACTTTCTTCAAAAACAAGATGGTGAGTGGGAGGCTAATATTTGCTAATGCACATATGCTACGCTTAAGCCATTCTTCTTTGCTGGTCACGGAGGTTGCGTCTCACTTGTACTTGCGTGGTGACTTTCTAGAGGCCTACAGGGGCTGATTTTCTGAGCAGGAGAGTGGCAGCCCAAGGATGGGGGTAAATGAGACGTGAAAGGGTTCCAGTCTCTTTTTTTTTTTTTCTCCAGGAGTAGGTTTTGAACCCAGAGCCTTCACACTGAGCCACACCACCCCCAGCCCTGTTTTATTTTTTTTAATTGCCACGTTATTTATATTGTAATTTGTTGTAGAGATTAATGGGTTTCATTTTGGGGATTTCTGTGTGCATAAAACATGAGCCCTCTCCCCACCCCTCGAGTCCCTAGCCTTGTCTTAATTTTAGACAAGGTCTCAACTAAATCATTAATTTGCCCAGCCTGTGTTCAAACTTGTGATCCTCCTGCCTCAGCCTCCCAGGGTGCTCGGATTATAGGTGTGCACTACCAACCCGGGCTCAAATCCGGGGTTGTTTTAGAGAGAAGGATAGGCTGAATGCAGGACAAAGCCTGAGGGAAGGGAAACAAATCTGCTAGTGTCAGGCTTTGCCTAGAGGCGTAGTGCCAGGATCTGTGTAAGCTGCCCATTGGGACCTATGATCAGACCCTCCAGGTATATCCAGTTATATGTCAGCAGCTTGGAGAAGCCTCTATTGATCTGTATAAAAAGAATGGTCTCTAATGGTACAGATCCGACCTTCTCTGCCATTTTAAGAAAATAATACCCACAGGATTTTATTTTGGACCAACAAGCTACATCACTTTAAGAAAACTAGCTGGGCGTGGTAGTGCATGCACTCAGGAGGCTGAGGCAGGAGGATCCCTGTGAGCTCGAGACCAACCTGGGCTACACAGTGAGTTCCAGATCAGTCTCAACTACATAGTAAAACTCTGTCTCAAAAAAAAAATTATATCACTGCTTTCAATCTGTTTGTACCCAAGAGAGAAATGGAAAATATAATAGATTGTTGTGAGAACTAAACAGAATCCCATATAATTCTCAAAGGTCTGCACAGGTGTGGAGAGTCGATGTCCATGGGATATGGTTAAAAGAATGAAATGTCAGTGTAATCCACGGATGCTTTCTCCTTCTCTCAGGGTAGCAGCAGGTTTTTTGGTCCCTGAACAGATGGAAGACAAGTCTGGGTGAAGCACAGGATAAAGGGTCAGGATGCTGCCTCCAGCTGATAGAATCCTGGCGGTGAAAGTCCCTGGACGTAGGGCTGTGGAGACTGCAGAAGTGAAGATGTACAAATCAACAAGGCTTACATCAATTAAAATAGAGTCTCCTTCAAGGATCCAACCTGGTGGATCCTCTACTGCCTGCCTGCCTTAAACGAGGTGGTAACAGTGACAGTTTTTCTCTATTAAGTCAGGTACTGGCCTGGATTTGGGGGCGGTACAGGGGATCAAACAGGCGGCACCACTGAGCTAAATCCCTGGCCCTTGCCTGGATTTAAAAAATCTACATCATCCCATTTACCTTTCAGCATGTCCAAGGGGAGGGCTGTAAACACTATTTCCATTTTACAGCAGAGAAAACAGAGGTTCAAAGAAGCCGAGCGGCTTGGGTAAAGACACTCCACTAATGAGGAATCAAACCCACGCCTGAGTGCTGTGCACAAAGCCTCGCACGGAGCCCGCAGCTTGCCTCCGGGAATGTTGGACACACAGAAAACAGTACGATGGAGTCAAAGCAGCCTGAAATTAGAGATGCGGAGACAATGGAGACCTGTGCAGCCTAATAATGTTCAAGGAGGAGTTCGATATTGAGCTGGGAATGGGAGAAGACAGAAGCCCTGGTAGGTTAAGTAAAGCTTATAAATCTCAGATTTGTAAGTGCGGGAGAGTTACAGAAAGCCAAATCACTCCGATCCATTCTGCCCAAAACAATGGGAGCAAAGATAGGAACACAGTCTCTCCCAGATAGGATGCAGAAAAGACCCCTACCCACCGCAGGCTCCACTCTAGAGCAGTGGTGGTGGACCTGTGGCATGCATGGTGTTCGTTTTTCTTTTAAGACAAAAGATGTTAATATGTGAGTTCTTTTCTAAACTGAACCCTCAGTGTTTAGGTTTAATTGCAGCGTTGGCATTTTGCGATAAAAAAGTGGGTTTTGGGTTGCAGTTTGGGCACTCGTCCCTAAAAGGTCCACCATCTCTAGAGTGTAAAGGGTAAGAGAAACAGAAGTTTGAAGAACCCCGATTCCTGTCTGAAGTCTTCCAAAGGGTTGCTTCCTGGTGCTTTGTGCTAGTGTTTGCTAAGATGAAGGCCGCTACTGTTGCTGTCTAGACCCCTGTTGGCTCCAGTGGGGGGCAGTATAATACTTCAGGTTCCTGATTAAGCTTCAACTTGGCCGCCACTTCCACAGACTAAACAGCAAGGGAACCCAGGACAGTATTCTGAAGGTAACTTAACATTTCAAAGGAGATCAAACGATACGAATCCTGAAGAGCAAACTGAATGGGTCAGTTGGATAGATAGACATCTAAGAGAAATTGGTGTTTCAGAAAACAAAGGAAAGTACTTCAAAACTGTATCTAGAATAGCAGATATGTGTGAAAAGCATTTAGCTGTGGTGTGGCCCTTAGCAATTCTGACCCCAATGAGAGCCATTTTAATGGAGGCAGAAGTGAGCTTGCCCTTTCCTCCCCTATTCTTTCTCCTTCTCGTCTCCCTTCCTCTCTCATCCTGTTGACCATTTCTTGAGCTGCATCTGGAGATGTAGACATGAGAGCCACAGTCCTGTCATCATGCAGCTCACGGAGGAAGTGGAGAAGTTAGTTGCCACAGAGAAGTGGTTGTGAAATGAGAGTCTTGTGTCAGGTAGAAGGGACATCGACTATAAACTGATCGCAGCAGGCTGCTAAGAGATAAACAAATAGGTGTGGCTCCTTGACAAAAAGGGAAATGCGTTATACAGGATGAATACGTGTGACATTTGAGAAGTAAAAGAGCTTTACTAGTTCCAGAAAATGAGACATTTTAGCATGACTGAAATAAATGCCATCTAGGAAAACCAGGTTCAGATTGCTAAGGTTTCAGCGTATGTGAATAAGAGCCCAGATTTGAACCCGGAGGATAATAAGGGAGGTAGTTAAAGGACTGGAGTAGATAAGTGATATACTCTAATTCAGAAATGAGAAGTAATATCCTGATGAAGAGTAGAAAGAGACTAGAAGCAAAGTGACATAAGAGTTCTGGAAGAAACCAGCCAAGCCTTAAGGAAAGACTTAACGGAGGCAGGAGTGATGTATGAAGGGCAGGGGTCACAATTAGCAAAACTTGATACCTGGCTGTGTATGAGGTGGAGTGACCAGGAGAAAGAGTCTGGTTCCGGGCCCGGGTGATCACATCAGTTGAAAAGATAAGGAACAAGTTAGGAGGTGAGAAATGATAAATTCCATTTGGGGTAT